TCTGTAGTCGGCTTTCTGATCTTAACACAGCAAGATTAGCCTGACAGACTTCGGAGAGCCTGCGGGTCCATCTCAAGGAAGATGCTGGTCAAGATGCTGGTGGCACTCCTGAAGGTGGCGAACTGAACGTAGAATTCAAAGTCACAGAGACCGCATGACACATTTCTAACCCTCCAAAGCAAGTGATCCTGTCTTCCATCCTGCCTTTTCTGGCTCTCTTTATAGATACAGATATATGGACATGTTTACATGCATGTGCATGTATGTATACATATTGGCATGTTATATATAACATGAATATATGTGCATATATGTATATTAAATATGTGTGTGTCTTAGTTTGCTTCTCTGTTGCTGCGGTAAAACACTGACCAAAAGAAACTTGAGGGAGGAAAGATTTATTTGACTTACAGAATAGTCCTTCATTGAGGGAAGTCAAAGCAGGATCTTGAAGCAGAAACACTGTCATTGGCTTGCTATCTTCCTTCCTCCCTCCCTCCCTCCCTCCCTCCCTCCATCCTTCCTTCTCTCCCTCCTTCCTTCCTTTCTTCCTTCCATTTATTTTAGTCTTTTTGAGTCAGTGTCTCCCTGTAGCCCCAGACGTCCTGGAACTATATAGACTAGGCCAGCCTCAATCTCACAGAGATTCAACTATCTCTGCCTCCCAAGTGGTGCTAGGACTAAAGGTGTGAGCTACCATGCTTGGCTCAGCTATGTCTCTTATATAGCCCAGGCCCACCTGCCCAGGGATTGGACTGCCCACAATGGGCTGGGCCCTTCTCCATCAATTAGCATTTAAAAGAAAATGCCTCACAGATGTGGGAAGGTAATCAAATTGAGGTTCCCTCTTCCCAGTTGTCTCTAGTTTGTGCCAAGGTGACAGAAACTATGTAAAAGGCATATATACATATATTAAATGAAAGCACAGAGTATATATATATATATGTGTGTGTGTGTGTGTGTGTGTAAATTTATGCCTGGACATATTGACTCATGTCACAATACATCAAATCAGTAGGATGAAGGTAGAAGATCATGAATATGAGCCATGTGCCAGTTCTTCACTAGGCATGAGAACACAAGGTTAAATGAGTGTCACCAGCTCTCAAGAATTCACCATTCAGAGACAAGAAAAACCGAAAGCCAAAACACATCTACCCATCAGGATGGTGGCTATTTACAACTGGAGGCAGTGTGTCTTCTAAGAGGTCTGTACTGAGGGCAGCCCGAGATGCAAGGATTCATGCAGGCTGGGCTCAGGTCCCAGCTTCACCACTTGGATGTTGTGTGATATCAAACACTCAACTTGAGCTGCAGACTCTTCATTCTTTTCTTTTTAAAAAAAATTTATTTATTTTTACTTCACGTGCAGGAGTGTACTGCCTGCATGTATGTGAGTGCATCCGTGTCGTGCAAGGCCGCGGAGATCAGAAGAGGGCCTTGGATTCCCCTGGGAACTGGAGTTAAGGATGGTTCGTAGCTGCCATGTGGGTGCTGGGAATTGAACCCAGGTCCTCTGCAAGTGCAGTCAGTGCTCTTAACCACTGAGCCATCTCTCCAGCCCCAGACTCTTCATTCTTAAACTGGGTGTCTGCCACAGTGCCTTCTTCAGGGGCGGCAAGCTTATGTGGCATAGCGCAGAAAGCCCTTGAACTTCTGGACTCCCAGAAGGCACTCAGTCAATGAAGCTGTCATTATTAGAAGTATCATTATTAATTACTATCAGTGAGAAAAAACATGAAGCTGGGGGGTGATTATAAAGGACTGAATGCTCGCTCCAATGAGAGGTAGCAGGAGCAGCTTAGTGACACTGCACAGCTGAATCTTTCCTAGGAGCAGGTGTTTGTGAGAACAAAGGAGAAAAGGGCAGCAATCCAAGGATGAGAAAGGGTTTGTCCAAAAGTCCTGGGTCATGAAACATCCCAGCAATGCCAGAGAATGGCCATATCTGAAGGTCAAGGTCAAAGAGGAGCCAGAGCCAGATCTGGAGGAGGCCCTGAAGAGTCCTGAACAATGTCATAACATAAATCAGGTTTGCCTTTCAGAGAGTTTAGGTAAAATTAACTGGGCATAATTTCACCTGCCCAAGGTCACCACTGTGGTGGCCCGTTGCCAAAAACACCTTTGCCACAAAACAGAGGGCTGTCCTCGTCCACAGGATCCTTGCTCTGTCCACAGACCTTCAAAAGTGTCTTGTTTGTTTTAGTTTTCCTAATTGGCTTGTTTTTTTCCATTGTGATTTAGATGCTACAGGAGGTTTTCTTTACCACTAATCCCTTCCCCAATGATTTTTAAATACCCATCTTCCTAACCACAAGGAGACTCTTAAGTGGCCACTTTTTCTGCACTTACAAGAGCCACACAACAATTGCGGCCCTCAGAGGAGGCTGACTACAATTGTAGCTTCGAGGGTCAGGACTGAGAGATGGTGGTGGGTGTGGGAGGCAAAGTCCAGAAAGGGCTTAGAACTGTTCTGAGGAGTTGGAATCACACACCCTGGATAAAAGCAAAAGTAAATAAACAACAGCCCCAGAAACAGCAAAGCACAAAGAAGGTCACCTTAGAAGAGGAGAACATGTGCTGTGGTATGCAAGGGGCAGGACAGTACAGGACAAAAGTGCAGTTAGTGAGAGGAGGTGGTGTTCTCCCCGACCTTCTGGACATAGGGGAAGGGGTAACAAGACAAAGAAAGCTGCTAAAATAGGTCCAGACCAGTTTCCTCACTCCCCATTCTTGAGGCTAGCCCATTAGCCAGTCCTATCAATTCTCTTTGTGCAAGTATGCCCTGGGTACCTTCCAGCCAGGGTATGAAGAGGCATGGCTCACAGAATCTCCAGTCTCTATGTCTACTCAGTAGCTCACTGGCTAGCAGACTGAGAAAGTGGGGGGCTAACACAGAACAACACATGATCTCCAGTCATGAGAAACTCAGGAAGATAGGGAAAGAGTTCAGCCACTGTTACCGGGCACCCGAGAGGTGCCAAGTATTGGTCCAGAGCTGCTTAGGTCTTGTTTAATCTTCATAACTCTCCTTCAAAAAAAACCATCTGTCATGAGCAATCTATTTTCCAGGTCCCCATTCCCACTGTCACTATGAGAGAAAACAGAAGGAAGCAGGTAGACAAGCAAAAGAAGTTGAGATCCCAGGTTCTAGACACCGTCCCTTTCGGGACCCCCTTCTTTCCAGACTGTCTTTTGATTTGGTCTTAGACTTTCATAAGACACTACCTTTTTCCAGCTCTCCTAAGCATGACAGTGTTCCCAAGCATCCATATATTATACTGCTGTCATGTCATGACCCAATAAATACACTTTATGTATTCATGTGTGTTTGTGTGTCCTCATATGTTTCTGTACTCAATCTAGACCCAACTAGGGATTATGGCACAGGTCCCACCAGGGCATCAAACCCAAATTCTGGGTCCAGGCATCCTGCCACAGCCCTAAGACCACCTCCTTGGGCTTCAGCTGTTGCAAACAGGGGTCCCTAGCACCAGTGTCATCTTCCTTATTTTGTTATCAAACAAAACAAGATAATCATATAATCATATCAAAGCACAAAGTAGAGACTCTAAGTCTGCAGGTACTTCAGGAGCTACTGAGATATTTCGGAAGTGTGTCAGGACCAGCCAGAACACATACACAACAGAGCCGCATCTGACTCTGTCTCTCATGTCAGCCGATCCTTTCTCTCCTGAAAAGTCATACTAAACAATAATTTATTAGGCATCTACTATCTGACAGGTTCAGTATAGCCCACTGGACCTGGTAGGATTTTCCCATTATTGTCTCCTTTTTGACTACTTAAAGAGCTGACCATGGTCCTTTAGCTGTCTTCTCTTTAAACGGTTTCATCAGTCTTAATGCTTTAACGCTTGGATGGCTACTCGGAGCTACAGGGAGACTTTTTGTTGTGTTTTCTTCACATTGTTGTTTACTACCTAAAGCATTCTACCCCCCTTCCCCCCACCCCCCTTCTCTCTGATTTTTAGGGAGGGAAAAAAATCTAGCATCTGGGGTAGGGGACCACTTAAAATGTCTGGGCTGGGACTGCAAACGACCTCCCAGAGATAATCCAAATGGCTGATTTAGCAAAGCCCATTCTTGACCTTGACACAAGACAAGACAGGCAAAGGGGAAGGACTTGGGAGGGCAGTGTGAAAGAAAAAGGATCATAGAAGCGCTCAGATCTCGCCTGGCCCCCTCCCCCATTCACCAAACACCTGGCTGAGTTGGAAAACATGACCGGCCCAACCTTCCTATCGGCAGCAATTGAAGCTGTCAGCTCTTGCTTGTCACCAGTTGCACTGGGAGGCCCCGGGCAGCCACAAGAGCCCTAATTAGGCAGAAATGACACTTCTACAACTGACCTGCCAGGACCTTTGGCAGACCATTTAACATCATTAGTTAACATTTTTTAAAAGTGTGAATGTAAATGAACAGCCAGTGGCTTTCAATGGAGTTTGTCGGTGGCATCTCCCCCTCCCTTCTCTTTCTCTTTTTACATGAATAGTCCACTTGTTTTCTCCAGAATTAGAGGGAGGCATGAGGAAGGAGGAAGAGGACCAGTCCCCTGAGCCGACAGACATGTTAAAGCATAAACAAGCTCAGAGCACCAGCAAGGCTATCTCTTCTTGTCTGCATATGGGACCAAATCTAGACAATCTCCAGGGCCACCAGGGCGACAGTGAGAGCCTGGCAGGGCAGACAGATGCTAGGCCCCGCTCCACAAGCTAGGACCAGGAAGCATGGCTAGCCACACTCTCAGGACTTTACCTCCTGACTCAAGGGTACCCCTGAAACACCTTTGTCTCGAATCTCTTCCCACTTGTTGGGTCTGTGAACAGGTCGACTGTGCAGTTCAGCCAACAACTTTCGTGAGCATAGGTGTAAATGTACCAGTTCTCCATGTGCCTGGTCCCTCTTAAGAGGAATGACATCCTTAGGGTAATCATTTCAGAAGCCAGGTTGATACTTACACAAATGAGTTCATGTCTTACCTGCTGCAGTGATTTCCCACCTTGAATCACACTTCATTTTGTTCTTCCCTTTGCACCCACAGAATCCATACACGCCAACACTCTCCATCTGTAGGAGGGAGGAAGGGAGTTTTGCCGTGAACACTTTGCTTTGTTTCCGTGTGGCTCTTAAGTCACACACTCATGTTGGCTGACAGCTTGAAGAGAAGCCAAAGTTGAGGGGGACAGCAGAGGGTAGGGCTCTTTGGGGAGGGGTTTCTTGGCACCTACCACCTCCTTGTTATGTGGCCTTGGGCAGGATACTTAGCTAACCCCCGAGTCTCAGATGTTTTTCATTTATAAGGCGGAGATAATGCCTCCCTGCATCAAGTAAACAAGCCGATGGAAGTGCCATGGAAACCGGAAACTTCTGTCTCCATGTTAAGGCCTACTTATGGCAGGAAAGTGCTGCCCTAACCATGCCAGGTTCTCCTCCCTCACTTCTCTTGGAGAGACAGCATTAAGAATTTGTCCTTTTGTTTCTCAAGGCATGCTAGATGCAGCCACCAGCACACCCCAGATCCCTTCCTAGCCCTCCCTGTCTACTATGCCAAAAGGGCTGTGAATAGTGCACACCTAAGCACATATATGAAAAGCGACCCCCACAAAACCATGGTTCTATTAGTTACTTAGTCCCTCTTCCGGATCCCACACGGCTGGAGAGGGAAGTGGGTCTCATCTACTTCTGGATTTCTGGAAGCCCTGGAAAGAATGGCAGGTACACAGTAGCAAGAGTACAGCCCAATATGGTGGCACACGCCTTTAGTCCCAGCACTTGGGAGGCAGAGGCAGGGGGATCCCTTAGCTTTGAGGTGACTGTTTAAAGGACTGAGTATGGGTGCTTTACAAAGGCTATATATACAGATTCTAAAACTGGAAGAATTCTTCTGGTCTCTGAATTAAGATGAATAAAGTCAAGCAAGAAATGTGTAATAGAAAAATGCTTGTAACTAGCCATGAGACAGAAGCAAAAAGAAAACAATCTGAGTTTGGGACAGAAAGAGAGAAAAAATACTTGGAAACGCTCTTAATAACAGTAAATTGGGGGGGGGGCGTTCCTGAGATGCAGCATTCAGTGCTTTTAAGCTAAATACCTTAGCATATTAAGCAAATAGAGAAAAGCCAGTTAGAAGATGTCATCCAATTGAACCACACTGTGTTCAGAAAGCCTATAGGAGGTGCCTGGTTTGACCCCTTTCCCCATCACATGCCTGGTTCCAGCCCTGTTGTTTAGTATAGCGTCTCCTCTCCAGCTGCGGAGCTTATTGAAAAGCTCTTGCTCCCTGCCTGGTTTTGGCACATTTTCTGCAGGTGCCTCCTACTGTGGCCACAATGGACTGCTCGGGAGGTTTAGACCTGTCAACAGCTACTGGGGAGGGAGGGGGGCAATAGCAGAGGGGGCACAGTGACATTGTGTGCCTCTACCACAGGGCCTGCAGCTCGGGCACCTGCTAATGAGATGAGCCCTTTCTCCATTCACTCTTTCTCTCTTTAATGATTTAACTTGATCGCTTTGGTTCCTTTTCTAGAAGGGGAATTGCTCCATTGATCATATAAAGTAATTGCTTGTAAAACATTGCTCTGCAGAAACTACTACTACTTTCCTGGCTGAAAATGTCACAGCAATTGAAAAGCTCTTAGCCCAGTTCGAGAACAAAGTGGTTAAAGAGAATAGTCTTTGCATATAATCCCAAGCACTCCTGTGTTCCTACAGTTGTAAGTTTGGGGATGTGATTGATGAGTTTTAAGACAGATAATTTCCCTCTTCTGGCCTGGCATGATTCTTCATGAGACTATGAAAAACTAACCAAAGACCTTAAAAGAGAGCGAAAAATACCCAACCAAACTCCCTTAACCCTAAAATTAGATATAAGCATTCAGAGAAATTATTTTCTTAATGACTATTCTCTCAGAAGTCATGTGTTCAAAGGACATCCACACAGATCCAGCATGGTTTGGGAGGGGAAAGAGTGTCTTCCCCTGGGAGGTAGCTGGGGCCCCTGGTTTTGGAAGAAATGGATGCTCTTGACTGCTATGCTTCGCTGATGTTTCTGACTTGTCACTTGGCGGCAGCAGTGACACACTGTGGGGATGATGGGGACCACGGGGACCACACACTTGGGGAGTTTTCATAAATAGCTTTATTAAATAATCATTGCCTTGTGGAAGTGTGGGAGTAATCCACCTGTGTGTGGGTGTGTGGGGGGGGAATCACTTTGTCCTCAACAAAAAGTTGCCATCGAAATAAACACAAAAGCTGTTAGTGATGTTTTCGTTTTCCTCTGATAGGTAAAAGCCTAAATTTATATCTAAATAAGAGAGATGCTTGTTTCCAGAATCATTGGTGGGAAGCACCACTTGTGACACGCGTGCTGTGGGAACAAGGCTGCGGGTGAGTCACCTTTCATTACCAAGCTCCAATGGATTATTTTGTAGCCGATGAACTAAGGCAGTAGATATGCTTATTACTGTATTTTTTTAATAGGCAAAACAGCTGGCAGCTTACTGACAGAGTATAGTAAACTAAGCAATATAAAGACCACTTAAAATTACAAAGTTGAAAAAATCAGAAGACTTCTGAGAGTTGAACCTCATGAAAGATCACGGCACAAGGTCCCCTCACTGTGTGCAAGTGCAGCATATATTTTCCTTGGGATTTTAAAATTTAAAATCAAATGTCTGATCAGAGCACACAGGACAGATGCTCAATTAGGGGAGTTATATGTACCACACCATAATATATCACAAATATTATTAAAAGGTGTATTTTCCCTTATCTACTTATAACAGTGAAGAAAATGAAAAAAAAAAATGGGAGGAGAAATACCCGAAAGTTAAGCCCATTAAGGAAACTGATTCTAAACTATAATGAATTATTTGGGAAGCCTTTAATTGAAGCTTAAATTTTCTTTTTGCTTACATTGAAAAAGTAGTTAATTTTTGTCAGTAAAATGGGATATTTAATTAGATATCTAATTAGATGATTAATATAGAAGTAGATAAAATAAGAAAACACATGTGCTTGAAAATTCTGCCTGCCTCTGAGACCCTTATCTAAAAACCACAAAGATTCACAATATTGGGAAACAGCTGAGTGATAAATACAGTTACACGGTTGCTGTCGGCAGCCTTGCTCTGAGATAGTGGTCCAGACAGGAAAGTGAGTTGAGGTTAGCCCCTGAAACCAAAACGGGAACCTGGACAGCTGGGGCAGAAACCTAATCCCCACAATCAAAGAATAGGGTGGGAAGGTGGAATGCATGCTCAGGGAAGGGCTCCTGTCTCGGTGGGAGAGAGACAGGAGGGTGGTGGTCAGCCTCCTGCTGATGCTGAGGCTGCCAGTGTCCTCTGTATGAACTCCCAGAGTGAGAGTCTGGGATGGCGATTTTAATTTGGTTTCCCCATATTTCTGGAAGGAGTTGAAAAAAAGCAAAATATTATCTGATGAGGAGAAAAGCAAGCCCAAGGAGGCCCTTGTAGAGGAACGAATATCAAATCTTCCAACAGCCACAGAATTGCTTCCCTCCTGCATCCTCTGTTTGTGCCCGATGCAAGAGGTGTGAGCAGAATCCCAAAGTTCAGACACACCAAGTTGGGCTTTACAGCTTATTCCTTAAGGGGTAACTCCTGAGCATGTTTCAACGACCTGACTTCACAAGGTAAAAATTAACCTTTAGCTAAATACACCTGAACTTCACACTCAACAAATTTTGTAAAGTTCTTAGGCATACATTTAGAAATAAAAGAGTTCATTTAAAAAGGTGGTCTTACTCCTACACCAACGAGCATCTAATCAATTGAATGCATACACAGCGATGAGAATTATGTCCCAGGTTTGAGTGGTTATTGTTCATGTCCTTCAAAATTCAGACGTGGTGAAAGCCACAGATACCTACCTAACCTGAGCACTGTATTTATGTAATAAATGTACACACTTATATTTGTTACTGACATGTATCTCAGTTGCTAAAAGTTACCCACCCCCCAAATGATAAGAACCTTTCTATTTAAACAAAAAGCTAACCTCAAGCTGATGGGCAGCAGCGCCTATTGAAATCTTTGTATTCAATACATAGAGTGTATTGTTTTCCAGTTAGAAAATGATGTGGCTTGAACTTCACTTTCCAGTACCCGAATTAATACAGAGCCATTGGATAAGGGAAGAAAAGTCTATGTCGTGTCTTTGCAGAATAGAATGTGTTCTAAATGAATGTTTGGACGACAGTGTCAATGATGAAGCCAGACACTGCTGCAGCTACAGGAGCAGACTTCATTCATGAAAAGTCTTTCTCTACTTGTTCCCACAATTTCTTGGAATCCCATCTGTACAGTTTCTTTTCTTTCTGAAGTCAGAAAGTGCTGACTAGCCCCAGGAGTTTTCTGCGCTCCAGTTTTTCTCAGTTTGATATAAATCACAGCCTCCTTCCTCCAATCACATCTTCTGCTGTTATGGCTTATTTTAAAACATCCAATTGCATTGGATGCACTTGGGTTATTAACACAAGTGCGACTGACTCCCTGGGATGATTACAAATACCTACTACAGGCCAAACCTAGAGTCGTGACTATACATTTTGTCAGATGACACAGAAGGTACACTTGAAGTCCACATTTAGAGTACTAGGCAAGTCCAGCAGAAACATAACAGAGGACCAGCCAATCAATGTGGTATCTGAGCTTTAGCCTCAGGGCACAGGCATGTGTGATGCAGCTGACACGTCAGCCAAAAGACAACACTGTTTTTCTTGGCATTAGGACTTGAACAAAAGTGTGGAAAGTTCCAGGCATATCCCAGTGAGTCAGAGTCAAACCCAGACAGCATTCACAGGTGAGGGAGAACATGCAAACACACACACACACACACACACACACAGAGGACACACACAAACACGCCCCCCCATGGTGACTCTTTTTGCTTTCATATGACAAACATTTGGAGATAAAATAAATTTCACAAAGCTCTTATAATTTTAAGTTATTCTTTTTGACTGTGACTCCTGCCTTTGAGAGATTTAAATTTATCTCCCCACAACAAGGCAACTGATTTTGGCATGTGTGATGCAGCTGACA